AGTCGAAGCAGCCGAACAAAAAATAAAATGAAAATAACGCCGTCGTTACTAATGTTATGTTTATTTAATGAGAGGAATATTTTTCTCTTCTTTTTTTTTTTTTTACTTCAGCTGCGGTACCTGGAGCAGCAGCAGGCTGGTCCCAGGAGAAGAGGAGTCGTAGGAGGCGAAGCCGCAGCAGGAGGAGGAAGAAGAAAAGGCTCATCCATCTTTGATGCACCAACAGAACGTGGAGGCCCAGGGCTCCTGGGATTCTCCCACACGTGGGACTCTGGAAGGAAACGAGATTTTTACAAACGTCTCCTGCTGACATTTATCCTGAAGATTCTGACACGTTCAGGTCTGTAACAGACGGAGAAAGGAGTCCAGTGGGATCATCTTCATCATCACCATCATCATCATCATCTTCATCATCACCATCATCTTCTTCTTCATCACCATCATCACCATAATCTTCATCACCATCACCACCATCATCATCTTCTTCTTCTCTCTGTGGTGCTGCTTCAAACATGATTGCCGTTCAGAGTTTGCGCTGAGTTCATTTCAATCAACTCTAGATTATTTTCGGTACCCCCCCCCCCGACCCTCGACGTCGTGTTCCGAGAGGCCAGCTGCTCCCACAGTACTGATCTAAACACGTCGGATGAATCCGACACGCGGCACTGAGCACTTTAGCTTCTACAGTCCTGGCTCTCATGTAAATTGCTGCTGGGCACGTAATTAACCAGGGGGCGCTTCGGTGACGACGACGACACGCTGAGACACAGAGGCGGCCGACGCATCAGAGGGCGCCGACACATGAAAGAGTTCTTTCATGTGGTTGAAGGTCCTTCACGGGGCATTAAACACGACCTTCGAGCAGAGCGGGAACCGACGTTTGAGATCAACCCCGTAGCGTTACTGTCTTCTACTGTGAGGTCAAAGGTCACAGGTCTCTGCTGCCCCTTCAGACGGACTGTTGTCGGTTCAAACCCTGAATTTTACCGTTGCCATTTACGTTCAAACATCAGTGAGAAAAAAAGGCAGTGGTTCAGAGTTTGAACAGATCTGAGATTTTAAAAACAAGTTCAAATTAAAAATATGTTTTTAGGTGAGATTAAAAAACTGCCCTGTGGTCCAGACTGACAGATGACCCTGCAGTGTGTGTGGATTTTTTGATTCATCCCTGATGAGAGCACTTCAACTGAAGGCTTTCGTTAACGGGTTAATTAAAGTCGGACTTTGATTCGGTCAGACCGCAAACATCTGCTTCATTTCTGCAGCTCTGTGAGGAAATGAAACTGGATTTTTCAACTGTAAATGAAAGAGAATGTATTGAACACACCTGCAGCAGTTTAACATCCATCACCTCCTCCTCCTCCTGCTGCTGCTCCTCCGTGTGTGAGGGACTCTTCACCAGGTGACCTCCTGAAGAAGCCCTGACGTTGTTGAAGAAGTGTCTGCTGACCTCTCTTCATCCTCGCCCTCTTCTGAATCTCCCATCATGCTCCTGCTGGAGACAAAGACACGACAGAAATAGATGAATTTCCAACCAGGATATAGATTCCTGAAAAGTTCATTTGCTGGAGGCAGAAATTATTTCCTCAGACTTGTTTTCAATTTTCTTTCCAATGCTAATGGAGGACGTTTCGATCCGTTCCAGTCAGAAGAGCAGTCTTAGCAGCTGCAGCGGCTAATTGTTGTTGAAGGAAAGATGTGCAGTTGTCATGTGTTTTTTTTTTGTTTGTTTGTTTTTTTAAATCTCTATTGAACCATCGGAGTTCGTTTGTTGTGGCTGTATCTGATGGTCAGTGAGTCTGGAGTCGAAGATAAATCTGGAACACATTATTAGTGATGTTATCAGAGATGTTCCTGAGGTTCCTCAGGGATCTGAAGGATCTCCCCCTTGATCAAGATTCTGAACATGTCCCCAGCAGAATTCACTCAATGGTCGCTGCTCTTTGATGGCTTTCATGTTGCCAAAACAAAAAAAAACTGCTCTTTGATGGCTTTCATGTTGCCATGCTGAACAAAAAAAACCCTGACGTTAAAATGTTAAGAGAGCAACTGTTTTGCACTGGTTTGTGAATGTAGTTCCTCGTTTGACCAGTAGATCAGTTTTGTAGGTATTACAGTTTTAACAATAATTCTATCTACAAAACTGGGCCTGCAGAGAAGGTTAAACTGAGAAAGAAGAAATGACAAACCACCTGAAGCAACATGTGACTCCTCCAGGTCAAAACAAACCCACCAGGAGTGTGAGAGGAAATGAATAATAATAATTTTCTGTAACCTTTCGACTGCTGACATTTGTCCTCTCACTGACTCAGGGCTCACTCGAGCTGCACAGCCTACGTCACGGTCTACATCAAGACTCTCCTCCGACAAACGGGCGACGCCTCCTGATACTTGGACCACTTCCTGGAACACTTCCATCCACCTGCTCCTCCTTTTACTCCCTCTTTGGAACTATACATTCTGAGGGAACAGTGAAGGAACCACTCAAAGCTGCAACAATTTGCTCCTTCTTTTCCCCACTCTCCACTCTCCACTCACAGTGGCGTCACGGCTTCGTCCCCAGCACCGAGTGTTGATCACACGGGGGTTTTTAACCACAGGCTGTTAAAAAGATCAGGACATTGTTGTCAATAAAAAGGTTCTTTTCCATATTTTCTTAGGAAAATAATTAAAAATACATTTAGACGAGAGTCTTGTGGAGATATAGAACAAATATGATAAATATCTGAGCTCCAGGCAGTTTGACAGAATAAAGACGACGTGAAGAGACGAGAAAAACAAAAACAAAAAAATGGAACACTGCAGCTGAAAATAGATGAAAATAGAATCTTGTTGACAACAGGAGCATCTCAGCAGGTACCAGCTGAGAGAACTGTGTTCTGTGAGAATGAAATGAATCATTTTGTCATTAGTCATCAGCCCAGCTGGTTAGCAGTTAGCATTTCAACCTTCTGATGCTAATTCAATTGTTTATACTACATTTCTGAGGAATCTGAAGTGGTTATGACAAAAAAAAAAGAAAAAAGATAAAATCAGCGCCAACTGCTAAGGATGAAAAACATTCAATTTATGCCACATTTTACATTTTTAACTTGATATAGTTATTGATATAATTTTATAACATTTATTTTTTATGTTTACATGAACTCCTTGGCATTTCAGCTCAGGGGATGAGAGGCGACGTGTGTGGGTGTGATGAGTTACAGAGGTGACACACGCTCCGTCAAACACGGCCAATCAGCTGGTGCCGCACGGCGACGCCGATAATCATTCAGACACACCAAGGTGGCGCCGCAGCAGTGGGCGTTACTCTTACTAATAAGCGCTGTCATCGTAGAACAAACAACAACAACAAGTAAACAGTCAGCCGCGAAGATCAACGCACGCCGGGTGAAGGCGGTTTGTCGACACAACACGGGGGAAATGAACGGACCTTCAGGACAGGAAGCATCTCTCAATTAGACACGTCTGAGAGGACGGCGCTCCGGCTGCTGAGACACGGTGACATTCTAACAGTCTCAACACAAGAGGCTGAAACCAAATCAGTCAGAGCCCACGTTTGTCATCACCATCTGAAGCTAAAAATTAAAATACACCAATTAAAATTTCCATCATTTGAATTTAGTCACAAATGAAACACAAACATTGAACCGCTGTGATTTACCTTACTGTAACAGCAACACAGTCAATTTGTCTTTTGTCATATTCACAAATGCGTCATCTGGATTTAGAATTTTGATGAATTACAATCACGATTAATTGTGATTAATCGTGATTGTAATTCATCAAAATTCTGTTCAACAGCAACAGCTCAGATTAAACAGCGGTCAAATCGATGCGTTCAGTTTGTTTCGACTAACGGTGTTTGAAAAGCTGCGGCCTGTAGGACACGGCTGAGTGACGTTGTAAAGAACATTGACATGTCAACATCAATATGAGGCGGGAAGTCACGCAGCTCAGCCCCGCTGTTAGGAAAACAACAATAATTGTGCACATATGTCATCCAGGTGTCGTCAGATCCAAACAGACAGACGGGTGTCTCCTCACTGAGGGGGAGGAGAGAGAGAGAGAGAGAGAGAGAGACAATCATCAATAATTATGCAAATCTCCCTCCCCTGACTCACACATCACTCCCTCTCCCTGGATCTGCAGATGAATCCAAACGTGTTTACACCCTCGGTACAAACTGCCGACTGCTGGAACTCCTCACCTCCTGTTGTTTATCTGATCAGAAGTTTCACGGCGTTTTACGTCAAAGCTCAGAAAATTCATCCACAGATATTATTCATCTTCAACCGACTTGTTAATTCCTCCAGACCTTCAGAGGTCACAGGTTCTCTGAGCTGGTCTTGGGGCTAATAGAGGTGACTCTCAGCCAGTACAAGTGCTAATGGTCATCAGTGTGACAGGCGGCCAGATAATGGCGTGCACTCCGCACCTCCTCCGCACACCTGTCTGACCGTACAAGCTCCAAACGACCCTGAGGCAATTATGGAAATGTCATCGCACCCTCGTCACGGTCATCTGAAAAACATTTATCAGCCGCAGAAACACTCCACCGCCTCGGAACGTCACGTATGGATTCCGATCGGAGTGAGCGGTCATCACCGACGGCTCTATCGATCCCAGATCCGACGTCTCTCTCACGGTGACAGGATTCCACTCGGAGAGTTGACTGAGCCGATTGGCCTCCAGCAGTGGGTCACGAGGAAATGATAGGGCGAGCAGACGTCACAGACGACTGCACTGATTACAACGATAACCTGTGGTCGGCTTGAATAATAATAATAATAATAATAATATCTGGGTTCAAGTAAAGAATGTGAAGTATCTCAGAGTGTTTATGTGGTTTCACTCTGACGTTTTCACGCAACACTACGTCCTGCTACACATCAATGACCAACGGGATGGCTGTCTAAATCCATCCATCCATCCATCCATCCATCCATCCATCATCTACTGCTTGTTTCCAACAACTCGATTCTTTTGAACATTCAAAACAACATGGAAAACAACAACAACAACAACAACAACAGTTTGGAGATGACCAAAGTGGTCACTGATCAAAGACCTTATTCTACTGTTGTTTTTGTCTTTTTCCTGGCCGTCTACATCCACCGGTTTCCCACGGTAACGCTAAATAAATTTTAAAAAATTTTAAATTATGTTCCCTTCTCTTTCTAAACGACTTTCCCCTTCCTTTCCCTTTCCTCCCCCTCTCTCCCAGGTTCATCCTTTGATGGCCATCACATGCCATGTCAAGTCATTCCCAGCAGTGTGATGCTGACATCCTGACTCACAGGAACACTGAAGCTAACAGTTCCCAGCGTAGGATTAAAGAAGGTTAGTAGTCTGTGAAAAAGTCTTCATCTCCCAGGAGGGGGCAGCAGTGGTTTCAGGAAGGTTAATGAGAAGCTTTAATGTCTTCAATTGTACGTTTTAAAGGCAACACTTTGATGATTATCCTGATGGAGGCTGCTGGGTCTCCGTGAGCTGATGACTTCATTTTTACATCAGATGAAGATACGGGCACCATACAGACGAGGGGATTTTCAGAGTAAAAGCCTCACCAGTGAATTTCATTCATGTTTTGTTGAAAAATAAAAAATACAGCACAGAAAACGTGTCAAGTGTGAAGGAACGAGGTTGTTTCTGCGGTGGCAGTTAACCTGCCCCGGGGGGAAGTTTCTCCATCGGAGCGCGGTGTATAAATTTTGAATCGGTTTGTAGAACATTGCGGTCTGATTCAACACCAGTTCACATTAAGATTCTACCTGTGTCCAGCAGCTGAGACTACAGAGAGTCATTCATTAGACCTTAAGGAGTAAATTCACCGATTCTCGTAGTAAAATACGTGCAGGACACAAACATTCAATGTCTGGACAAAAAGGTACTATTTATTAAAGTATCATTAAGATACTTCAGGATGAACTGACCAAGTTCTAAACCAACTGCAAGATGCATGATGGGAGAATCAGGAACAGGGACAGTTTTTTTAACTACCATATCAATTCACTCACCCATTCACGCACCAACACTGAGAGAAGAATATGTCAAGGACAGTCAACTTACAGCTGGAGGTGAAGACCCCAGTGAGCCGACGTCCAGGTGTCTCAGGGAGAAGCAGAAGGATTTCTTTGTTCCTCGTTGTGGTGCAGACACCGTCATTAGTTCCACCTCTGACCGTCTGCAGATTTCAATCTAAGAAAAATTGCAAATATTTTTGGTTTATAACTTTGCAGGAAAAGGACGAGACAAAATCAGAATGACAGATGAGCTGCTGACATTTACTGAGATTATGGAAACGCTTCACCAAGTTTACAAGTCAGTAAGAACAACAACACTTTGGTAAATGTAATCAGCTGAATTAATTAATGCACAAAAATAATGAATTTAATCTAGAGCTAACGTTAGCTACAACAGACCAGGTGACAGACCAGGTGACAGGATTCAGAACCAAAACATTCCTTGCAGTCTATTTTCTGAATGTAGGGAACAGATGGAAAAGGCAAATATAATTAGACATGAAAAAGCAGTTCTTAAATATAATTAGACATGAAAAAGCAGTTGACACAATGACAACTGATTGTGTCAAATATTTCTAATGAAAAAAAATTGATTAATTTCTATGAATTCATCATCTCAACCCTGAAGGATCGAGAACGATTTTGAAGGGAGTTAGAAATCATTAAAGCAGTCATTTATTTTCTAAAAGCCGTTCTTCGTGTGGGGTTTGCAGGAGACTGACCAGGAGAAAACTGAAGCAAATCAGAGTCATCAAACCTCTGACCTGTCTGTTATGCAGCAACAGAGCTGACCGCTGCAGCACCCTTCAGTGCCTTACAGCCACATAAAGCTGATGTCTGAGGTGAAATACTACAGTACCTTGTCTTCTGTAGAGGGGACTGTAAACTGTACAGGAAGGAAATGAACAGGCTGGTCATGTGACAGAGAAGCTGAGTCAGCAGATTTAGATCTTCACTCACTCCTCAACCAAAAAAAAAACAGGTTCTGTTGGGTCCAAACTGAACCTGGTGCTGGTTATAAATTGAAGGTTTCACCTCCTCGCAGACCAATTACTCACCGTCTTCCTCCGCTCCAGCTTTCCAAGTGTGAAGTTGGCTCTTCTTCTTCCCGAAGAACTCCTCCTCGCGTGCGTCGACGCTCCCACACAACACCGAGAGACTGAGAGTTACATCAGACTGTAAAACACACACTCAACCAATTATGGTGCCAATGACGAACCAAAGAATAATAAAAAATAAAAAATTCACAGAATGTCAGAGAGGCCTATTTTAGGTCCACAAGCCTTATTTTTCAATTTAGGAAAAAATTAAAATTAAATGTAATAATTTTTTTTTAAAACTATATATGTGTCTGTATATATACTGATATATATATACAGCCATACAGAATCAGAGAAATATTTTTTTTTTTGATCAAGTTAGTAACATTTATCACAGACTTTTCAAAGTCGACCAGGATTAAAAACATTCTTTCTGATTGTTAACTCACATTATGTTTCTGGTTCTGGAGCCAAGAAACAAGGAAAACACCACCTGGTGAGTTTGATGACATGAGATTCTTCAGCACAGGATCCAAACAGAAACATTTTCCCTTTTTTTTCATGTTTTTATAAATCATTTTCAGTCCAACTTTCTGAGCTAATTATAGTCAACCACGCCAACGCTAATGTGTTTCTTTCTTAGCTTAAGAAAATCTTTCCTAAAAATGAATTTCATCCTACAGCAAAAAATAGTACCAGGACAAAAGTGCAGTTCAAAAAAGTTCCAAGAACTATTTTTCTCACATGTCCAGAGACTAAAACCCAGATTGATGATCAGACCGGTTTCAGTGAGATCACAAAAAGTTTCTGTGCAGCCTCAGAAAAGTCCAAACCCTGGACAGTCTGGACATGTGGTCCCAAAGTGCCTGGAGTCAAAGTTCCAGGTACTGTTGGTAACAGACAGTTAACCACAGATGATGGACGACCACCGTGTTTGGTTACAGGGTGTTTTGGGTTTTTGTTTTTTTCAGCACAGTCTGTAGAAAACCCTGTTTGTTTGGATGTGGACCACAGATATGGACACAATAAAAAGGCGTGCAGCCTGTCGTGGAAACAAACTCTGACTCCAGGGCAGGTTTGTCGGTTCTACAGCAGAAACTGCCACCGTTATTGCCCTTCACTCACCTCCGCCTTCAATAAGTCCAAATGAGATTCAAGCCTCACAAACAAACTCACACCTATATTTTCCACCTTGACTGGTTTGATTGATGTTTTTATATTGGTTTTTTTTCTGCTCCACAACATATTCAGAGGAGATGAAGTGGAAATGGGATTTTTCCTAATAAATCACCAGCCATCAGGCCTAATGTTTCTGTCGCTGCTCCGTGCTCACAGGATGTTTGGATGAAAAGGCTGTAACTGATTAATTCAACTTCAACATTCTGTCTACTCTCTCTGTTTTGTTTCATTTATTTACGTTTGGTTTTTTATGGTTGATTCTCTTCATAACCTGAACAGAGATCTGTAATGATGTACCTCTGAGAAGAACTTCATCTTTTCTCCAGTGAATTGGAAATGTTACCCTGGAAACAGACTTTAAATCAGATTCCAGTTTTATTTGTTTTTATTTTTGTATTTACAGTTGGTCCTGAACTCTGCTCCTGCTCGACTGAAAGCTAACGCGTCGGCTAATGCGAGGCATAATGAACACATTACTCGTAGTAATTAATCATTAAATTATTCAAATTGAAGTTGGTAATTTATTTCAACGTAGGGGCAAAATGACACGTTGCTGTATTTTCCAACGATAAGTTATTTGTGTTTAAATATTTGGACAAACACTGAACCCAAGTTTGTAAATATTAGGACTTCCCTCAGTCCGGTTTCGTAGCCGCGTCGCCTGTTTGAATTAATCAACATTTATTGTTTGTTAAACAAAAGAAAAATAAAACTAAATTAAATCTGATTAATTTAACGAATAATTAACACTCACGACAGCATGTTCAACTGCACACACACACCAGTACAGTGTGATAAACACCACTTTTCTTCTCTGATATAAAGGTAAACACAAACGGTTTGGACAAACCTGCACGGTGCGTTCAAGGTGCCTCGGTGAAAGTACCTTCACTCCTACAGATGACGAACAATGGCCAAGAGATCATCTAACGATAAACAAACAAAACAAACAAACAGTTTGTTGGGTTCATTGGAATATAATCTTCACAATATTTTATTTTCTGTCACAATGAGAATCAATATTGTTAAACAAAAACAATTTGATGGATTCCTGTAAATTACGACTAACAGTCAAAACAAACAAACAGTTTGTTGGGTTCAGTGGAATACAATCTTCACAATATTTTATTCTTTCACAATGAGAATCGATATTGTTAAACAAAAACAATCTTATGGATTCCTGTAAATTACGAGTAACAGTTAGACTGTTGACTGACTAAAAATAAACTCCATCGTAAATAAAAAATAATACATAAAAAAACGTCATCGTTAACTGCTGTATGAAGCTAAATTTTGAGGCTTACACTTGGACTTTAACACCGAGGACTTAACCACACACTGTAACACACACACACAGGTATTTTTAATTATTATTGTTGTTGTTTCCAACCCTCTCACACATATACAGATTGACCGTTGGTCATAAAATTCCTCGGAGAACGTGAACGCAACTGCGTTCTCCTCAGACTGTGGTCGGATATTTTCCCACTCTGTCTTTATTGCTCTCTCTCTCTCTCTCTCTCTCTCTCTATATATATATATATATCTTTAAACGGCGAGCAGTAAAATCAGTGAGTGGTGACAATTATATGCGCAGTCTTGCCCCTGCCTTCGCCCCCTAGGGGGGTGGTGGTGGAGGTGCTGGGACTTTGAGCCACTGACACCCACTGTGTGCAGTTAAACGGATGTGACGCCTCACAGCTGCACCGCGTTTATTCCTCTGGATTTAACCAGATTAGTGTCACTCAGTCCTGAGTCCAGGAGACTTAATGAGACGAGTCGAGATGATTAAAAAGTCAAATTAGTTTTTTCATCTCATATTTTTATCTCTCATTAAACGCAGACAAAAATGGATCTAGTTAAACGCATGCGCAGATGGTCGTTGACCCCGAGGATCGGAGCCGAGTGCGAATAAAGTGAGAGTGAAAAACAGAAAAGTTTCTCAAACTGTGTAACCGGGGGGGAAACAAAAGTTTATTAAATAAAACTACTGTAAACTTTCCTATTGAGTTTTCATTTGGTTGTTTTGACTTTTCATTCTCTGTGATTTATGGTTAGTGCGTCGAGAAAGTATCTGTGTTTCCCGGAGATAAAAAACAACCATTAGGTTCAGTGGAGTCGCAGAGAGGAAGGAAGTGGGGCTTTTACTGTATATACACCAAGATGTCCTATAAATACGCCTTATTTACTTTTATGATGCAGTGAGCCTTCAGAGTAAATGTACTGTGTACATGTTTAAATACGCTGTTTATTGAAGTGTCTATAAATCTGTTTAATAAAGGGGAGGTCGAGGGGCGGGGGTCCATCTCTGTCGTAAACACCCTGCAGCAGTGAGACCCTGATAGGAGAGCAAATACTTTTCC